AAGTCACTCAAACCTTATGTACTAAAGTTGAAGACATCTAAACTAATTCTCTCAAGGTTATGCTTCTTCTTGTGAATTAACCTATATGGCCACAACCTCTTTTTCTTTTTGCATCCTTCAACCAACGTTTCCTCACTTTATTTTTTTTTTCTTAATTTGATTTTTTTTTTTGTTATGAAAGGGAAATAAATAAAGATAAGATATTATAAAATCTCAAAAAAAAAAAAAAGAAATACATCGACAAAACTCAGAACATATAAAAAAATCTCATAATTCACATTCATCTCACGATGTGACTTTGCCAAAACATCTCAATACATGCTGAAAAATACACTATCATCCTCGTAAACTCCCGAATATGATCTTCAATAATACAGTTAAGGGATTCATTTGTGCAGAAAATGGCTGCACGACTTTAGATTTTGCTTTGCTAGCTATTCCGTAAAGTTGTTTATATATTAAAGCATGGCATCAAAATATAAATATAATGTATAACAACTTGCATGTAATAGTATTTTATTGTTTAGAACATTAATTTACATTGTTGACTGATCTCTCTCTTCTCTATATAAATACAATTTACGTTGAGGCTGTAGAAATTATTTAATGCAAAAATGGCAATATACAAATTCCATATGATCTAACATGAGTAGCTATTTGTTTGGATTTGCACATCCCTTTAGTAAATTTATATAGAGTTTCACTTCCTGCTTCCAAGGCTGATGCTTGGCAAAAATGGATTGAAGAGGATTATACATACATACATACACAAATAATTCTTTCAACATATAGGGCTCTTAATGATTCAATCTGGTTGTTAACAGATGATTTATTTAATTTGGTTTCTTAAAAGTAACAGCATCTTCATATAAAGGTAATGTGAATGGAATGGATATAAGAAATTCTTGGGTGGTGACAAAGGAAGGAATGAAGAGGAGAAAGAAAAAATGAAAAAAAAGGAAAAGGTTGTAGGTGGGTGGTTTGGAATTTTGGGGTGATAGCAGTAGCAGGAGAGGGATAGGGATAGTGGGCTCAGCTCAGAGTCAATGTCCCACCAATGTTGGTTCCGGGACAGATTATGTCATATGACTCATGCATGGTCTGAAACAAGGTGAAGAGCTTCATCAAGCATAAAGCCAAAGTAGGGCATCTTATCTTAGGCACAGACGGATCCACGTATATAAGAAGGATGTCCACGGACATTCTAAACATCTGAAAAATAAAAAAAATAAAAAAATTTATTCTGGATACTTCTAAAAATTTCCCTAAATATCATTTTCATTTATAAAATTAATAAATTCGTCGATAATTTTTTATATATATTATAAGTAAATGTTTTCAACAAATATATATATATATATATATCTATTGAATTCGCTACTAATCTTAGTATGATATATATAGGGCAGGGCAGAATGAAGACAATGAGTGGCAAATCTTTCCTTGGAAGTTGTCTACTTGTCAATTTGAGCATATCACTTTTGAGGGGCCAAGCTATAGCAGGCCAACACTACTCTTTACTCTCAAGTGAAGTTTCTGCAAGCAGTAGCCACCAGCCAATTTAGCAGCATATGCCAAACATCCACTACACATTTCTGTGATTAATCACTTTGAAGCTTCTTCTACATTATAGTAGATTATTTTTCTCATGCATATAGTACATCAAATTAGGCCAGAAAATTTGATTTCAAAATAAGAAAATAAGCTCAAATTCAAGAAAACAAAACTAATTTCATTATGTTTTTATTGAACAGATGCCTAGGTAATCAGCAACATAAACAGGGGTGATAACGATTTGATTCGGATCAAATTTAGTTTTATTTTTTAAAATATTACATAATATTATGAAAATTTAAAATTCAATTCGAATTCAAATTGAACCGAATTTTACTGGTTTGGTTTGATTTATTGATTTTTAATTTTTAATTTTTTAATTTATTTTAATATAAAATTTTAATATATTTAGGTAGATTTTGATAAAAATTATTTTTTTTATTTTATAAAAATTTAAAATATATATAAAAACTAAGAACAACATATAATTTAGTTTGGTTCGATTTTTTTCAATTTTTAAACACTCAATTTAAAACCTGATCTAAATTTAATATATATATTTAATATCCAAACTTTATCCAAATAAAAAAAAAATCAATCCAAACCAAACCGAACATTACAATTTCGAATTGATTTTCAAATTTTTTGATTTTTTTCTCACCCCTAAATATAAATACACATATTTCACTTTAAATTTTGGAAGCAAACCAACAGTTCAATCAGTAAATTCACTGTAGCATCATCCTAAATCAATTTCTATAGGGCTCAGTTTGTGTTATTTGGCTGCTTTATATGGCTTCAAAATTTACAATCGTATATTAAATTAATCATGTTATCATTCATGAGATATAAAAATAGTAATTAAATTAAACATATAATATTTTTTATTTTACCTCTTTATTTCCTTCTCGCAACCTGCTTCTCTTCCTTGCTTCCCTCCTCATACACCCAACTATGTGCACTGCAAAATATTACCTCAGATGTACCTTGACATTTTTTTTCTTAATAAATCTGACATGCTCTCCGATTCAACTTCTAACAAATTTTTTAATTATCAAACCAAAAATTACATCAACATATTGTATTTTAACCAAGCATTCTAAAAGATAGTATATTATTTTCTGAAGCAGTCAAAATAATTGGCTCAAACATTATTGTTCATGACTACTCATGGGACAGCATAGGCATTCATAATGTGGAAGCACATGATCTTTAATTAGAAAACTCTATTTATATGTTGTGCCAAAAGGCAAATAATAATATTCCATTTTTTTGCCCTAATCACTTTGTATTTGACAAGTGCTCACCTATCAGTACACAAGCAACAAAGAAGAAAAAAAAATTTTCTGACAAGTTACAGCTAAACATTGTACTAAACTGCCGGCAAAGAGGGCACAAAAGAAGGGATTTATGGCGAGTAAGATGCGATTATCAGCTGCTACAATAAGACATTCACGTTGCGGTTAGTGCAAAGAAAAGCCGGCTAATTTGATGATCATGAATAAAGGCCGGCATCGATCATCACTCACAGTTTGGTCTTGCTGGACAATTCCTGACAATGTAATAGTGAACATGAGCAAACATCCAAACCCCTTTGGTTTATAAAAATGCGAACACCTCTCAGAAATCACAGATAGCTTTGTATAATTAATTAACGTGTAGTGTAGGGTACTGTTTCATTGGATTAGCAATCCCAAAGATAAGAAAGGAACTAAATAAAATATGTCAGTAACCAATTGAGTTTCACATAACTAGCTAGGGAATCCCCAACTTGTGCAAATTTGTTAATAGAAGTAATTTATTTTTTGCTTATGCCAGTTTCAATAAGTTAATAATGCTTAAATCATCTTGTTTTTGGTAAATTTTTTGTTAAGCAACAAGAGTTTTTTTGGTTTTGTTAAAAATATATTTCTTTTTCGGATTGATTTAAGCATACTTATTTGTGTATAATCTAATAAATTCATGAAAAATTATTTTCTTATGGTCTCCCAACCCAAACAATAAAAAAAGTTTTTTTCTATTACTGAAACTAATCATACTTGATCTTATTTATCATAATTTACGTCACGAACTGTATCACCTCAAGTTCGTTTTACCTGCAATATACTTCACAATTATATAGTAGTGGTATTTAATCAAGTTGACCTCCATAAGCAATTTATAATTAGTACAAGTGGCCTGTGAAGCAGGTATTCCTTCAGTGGCTTGAAGAAGTGTGTTACCAAAGGATTAAATGGTGAAAGAGTCAAAGAAATACTTCCAAAGGCAGAGTTTGCATTCAAGTGTTGGAAAAGAGATGGGTAAATTTTTTTTATTTGTAATAAAAAATTCTTTTATTGTAATGCCATTATTTCCATTTTCCAAGACCTTTGTTTGCAACAAAGTGTTTTTAAGTAGATAAGTTCCAAATGGAGGGTGTCAGATATTTCAAGGAAATTACCTGCTCAAGCCAAAATAACTTTCTTTCTTTCCAAACAAGCTGTCCAGATTTCTTTCTTTTCTCTTTAACCATTAGTCTTGCAGTAAAAGATCAGCCACATCTTTCCAATTTGAAGTTAAAAACAAACTATATATGATCCATACAAGGAAATTTAGTTGGACATATTTAGATTTTGAGGGATCAAAGATTATTGATTCTAAAGGAAAATAGTACAATAAAATTATTGAAACAAAGAGATAAAGAAGAGGCATTGCGTTGTGAAGCATTTGGGATGCTTACAATTACAAATATGCCAACATATAATAGCGCAGCTGCAACTGCACAAAAATTCACTAATCCTGCAGGCTTCCAATAGCAGATGAAAGTACAGTCATTTATAAGAGATCTTCTCAAAGTACAGCATTCCCTAGTTCCATCACCCAATCAAATCACTCTAAATGTCACTATCTTAACTGAATTGACAGGATAACCCTCATCATTGATAATCCCAATGACCATAAACCCCAAACTGTACAACAAAATATGCATGCCCTTGGCCTTGGTTTGGGTCATTAGGGACAGGGACCCCATGAAAAGTAAAAAAAAAAAAAAAAAAAAAAGAAAGAAACACTGCTATACTCATTTTTAATATATGGAGTATGGAAAATGAAGTGGAAGCTTTCACTTGGTGGGGTGTAAGAGAAAGAGAAAGTGTGGGGCTGGATTTTCCTTAATAGCAAGACAAAGGAAAGAATAGTTAGGGGCAGTTAATTTTGTAGTAGGTTCCTCAACCATAGGGATGCTCGACTGGACAAATCACAGCCATTGGATGGATGTTTGGGCCGGGATTGGCGTAGGATTCTCAGTTGAGTACACGTGCTGCTATCTTTCCTCTCTCTCCCTTTACCTCTTTTTTATCTTTGCTTCCATGCATGGATTTCTCCTCCAAATATAATCAAGTTTTGAGAAAGAGAGAGAGAGTGAAAGCAAAACTAAAAAAAAAAAAAAATTACTTACTCTCTCTTTTAACTTTTTTTTCTTCTTATTTGGCTTTGTTCATCGCCATCATTAGCAACAAAGGTAACAACCACAACAACAAAGTCCCCCACCTCTTCAAAGTTTTTATCTTTTCTTCATATTTCAACTACCCCAAGAAGCCATATTGACAGGGAGAGAGAGAGAGAGAGAGAAAAAAAAAAAAAGATAGCTAGTATAGTTAATTCAGTTAGGCCTCTTTGGTTCACTTTCTTTTGAGCTAGCAGATCTTATTTTTTCCTCAGAATTCTATGAAATCTGATATGGTTTCTTGTATCTGGTCAGCAAAAACCGTCATTTTGAACAAGTGCGCGACCAAATTTCAGCTACTACCTTAATTTTCTGATCTGGGGTCTTCCTATTTTTGTCTTTAGAGTTCTCTGTTTTATTACCATTTGGCTTTTCTAAGTGTAATGAGATCAAGAATTGAAGTTTTGTTTCCAATTCCTTGATCAGATTTAAAGTTTGAAAAGAGGTTTTTTTCTTCTGATTTGTGTTTTCTTTCTTGAATTTTGAATTGTCTTTTCAATGGAAGAAGATCAAGAATTCAAGCATGTATGCAAGTTTTGTAGCAAAAGCTTCCCCTGTGGTAGATCCTTGGGTGGTCATATGAGGTCTCACATGACTAACAACAATAATTCAGCTGAAACAGATAAAAAGCCCGGCAAGAAAAAGCTTATTTCTGTCAATAACGTTGGCAATGATGCTAACACTGAAACCGGTCTGGAAGCTGGGATTAATGGTGGTTATATTCTCAGAGAGAACCCCAAGAAGACATGGAGACTAGCAGATTCAAGTGAAGACACTTCAGTTCATGACAAGGTCTGCAAAGAGTGTGGCAAAGGTTTTCAATCTTGGAAAGCATTGTTTGGTCACATGAAGTGTCATTCAGAGAAAGAAAGAGCTTCCAATAATAGCTTGGTGGAGCAAGATTCTTGGACTAGTGCTAACCAAAAGCTGATCATGGATAGCCAATCTGACAATGAAACTGCTGCCCCAAGTAAAGGGAGGAGATCCAAAAGAAGAACAAGGTACATGGGCACTGCAAATTCTTCTACCTTCTCTTTAACTAACCATGCTTCCTCTTCCATGTCTGAGATTGAGCAAGAACAAGAAGAGGTTGCTCTAAGCTTGATGATGCTTTCTAGAGATGTGAATCATTGGGCTGGCTTGAATTCTGTTGCTGAATCTTCTGATAACAACTCTGTGTTTTTGGAAGCTAAAATTGATATCAAAGCTTCCATCTGTAATGGTAAGGTGGTTCAGAAGTTGAAAAAACAGAAAGAGAAGAAGTTAGAATCTGCTACAGTGGATTCTAAGACTTTCCAAACTGGAGCTGGACAATCAGAATTTTGTGCTTTTGGCCTGTCAAAAACTGGGGTTATTAGAGTGAATAAAAGTAAAAATGAAGTTTCTGTTGATGAGTCAGTCAAGTTTGAAAGAAACAGTAAGTCCCAGTTAGATGGTCAGTTTGGAGCAGAAAATTCTGAAGTTCAACTAGGCAAGAATTTTGTGATACAAACTGGAGTGAATCGATCTCAACTGGGTTCCAATAAGTTGAATTCAAGCAAGAGGAAGTTACAAGACTTCTCTTGTGATCCTGAACTGAAATCAGGTTCTGTGAACAAATTGACAACTGCTGTTCTTGATTCTGAATTCTGTCAGGATCCTCATAAGAGAAGCAAGTTTGAATGCACTACTTGTAACAAGATCTTTCACTCTTACCAAGCTCTAGGAGGTCATAGAGCTAGCCATAAAAAAATCAAGGGCTGCTTTGCTTCAAGAATTGACAGCAGTGAAAATAGCATCGAAACTGAAAACTCTCCTGACCCAGCAGCCGATGGCAAGCTTGTCAAATCAATTGGCAATGAAACCCCCGTTGCTCGCTTAGCTGCCGACAGTGATGACAAGGCTGAGGTAAGCTATGGGGCTAAGAAGATAAAAGGGCATGAGTGCCCCATTTGTCTCAAGGTTTTCCCATCAGGCCAAGCCTTAGGTGGTCACAAGAGATCTCATTTAGTCGCCGAGGCAAAAGAGAACCAAACCATTGTCATTCAAAAGCCAATTCCTGAAATTCGTGATTTTCTTGATCTTAATCTGCCTGCTCCTGTTGAAGAAGAAACCAGTGGTCATGTGGGGTTCAAGCCATGGTGGGCTGGAAGCAGCCACAAGCACGAAGCATTAGTGGGGTTGATTTCCAACTGAGTTTCCAAATCCTTTCATCGCCATGGTTTTCCAATAAAGATTCAAAGAGTGTACACTGTACAGTACAAAAGCAAAGCTTCTGCATATTATTTGATTCATTCTTTACAGATTCAAGAATTCACCAAAGGTACTGCTGCTTACAAGTTTTTCCATTAACCTCTTTTTGTTCTTACTTTCTCTATTCATTCTGATTTTGCTTCTAGGCCTGTTGATCTGTTATGACTTGAAACTTGGATACTGTAATTGAATATTTCAAGCTTCTCCTTGTCATATTTGGAATGTACTTTTCAATGAAAAGCAACTGTTTTTGAGGGCAATTATTTTTTCTTGGCACCAAAGGAGAAATGAGTGAAGTGTTGAAAATTGAATTGGTGTGTGAAGTCATGGGAAAAGATAAAAGCATTTTTATAATGTACACAAGGATGGCATGTGAGCTCAAAGATGGTTGTTTAGTCACCTACCATAAAGCATGACTATCCATCTCATTTCCCTTCTCTTTCTCATACTTTGTAGTCAGTACACTGCTGCTGTTAATTCATCGGTCTTTAGTCCAAAGACTAAGTCAGTTGAAAACTTCACGACATGATGACAACACTTAAATTTGATGATATTAATATTTGTGTCTTATAAAATTTCGATAATACGTATATTTATATTATATTTTATACAAAATTATATTATAATTAATGTCAAAATTTTAAATTATTTTTATATCGTATTTTAGGTTATTATATTTTTACTGATTTAGGTCATTTGTTAGTTCAGAAACATAAAAACAGTATAAGCCCAATATCAGTTGAAAATATATCGGATCGAATTACTAACTTGAATCATGATCCAATCAAATGACAAGTAGTAAAAAGAAAAACAAATTGAGCCTAACTCAATTCAACAACTTCAGTTCAATTCATGGATGCACGCTGTCCTGATTACGGGCCAAATCTGCAACATACTTGGCAGCAATGGTCATATATTACGTGTCTTTTTTTTGTCTTTGAAATTCAGAAACTGAACACAGAAAAATAGTAGAGGGCAGCAACCATGATCATAGACATCGGATCATTCTTTACAGCAGGTTCATTATGAATTTAAAAGCACTTGCAGAATTCAAAATCATTCGGCCACCAATCCATCAACTTTAGCTAATGCCAGGGTGATGGTGCAGGCCCATGACGTTGCTAATGCACCAAATTCCCATATTAAACTTTTGATTATGCTTATGTAAATCAGACTTTTTTTTACAGATTGGGAACAAACAAAGTGCAGGATTAAACTAGTTTAGTAAAGCATGGACCTTGGACCTGGCAGGCAACGAAATGGAGTTGGCTGGGGTGTTTCCCTTGCTTTTACTAGCTGGCACTGGCAGTTGGTGCTAGCTCCTTTGTCAATTAGCAGAAAGAACTAACCAGCAACCACTACCAAGCAAAAATTTTGTATCTAGCTTAAGCTTTTTATCCATTTTTTTATTGTCACAATGGTTCTTGGATTTTATCAAATACATCCCCTTTTTCAACCATCAAAATAGATTTATTTATGTCGAATTTAGCAAATTCATTTTCTTTACTGCTTGAACCAAACTTTCATTGGTTGCTTTTTATCCACTTTATTATTAATAATAGTTTGTTTTGGTCTTCAAGTTAACTTTCCAACAGGAAATGCTTGATTTGGACAGATCAAGCAATCCAAAAAAAAAAAAAAAAGTGTGAGTGAAGATTGAAAAAGAAAAGCTCAAGGAAGCCTGATGCCTTCTGCCAATGTGTTATTGTTGTACTTCTTCAAGATACTATGGGACTTGTTATTTTCTTTTCTTTTGTCACTTTTTCTTTTTTCTTCTTTGAGCCTTTTTTGTTGGATGTGTGACTTATGTTATGAAATTTGCGCTTTTTTTGCAGATCAAACTAAGCAGGAAGCCTTAAGCTATTGTTGCTTTTGTTATTTCATCATGAAAGTCAACTTTCAGTAGAAAAGGTTAAATTGGGTCTTAAAAATGGGTTGTTCATAGGCCCAATGGGGTTTTTTCTTTAAATTTTATTTTATTTTGTATATTTGAGTTTTTTACTCTTTAAATTTTATTTTATAATAATAAATAAAATATTCTGGTTTTATAAAATTAAAAAAATTCAATTTTTAATGAAAATAAAAAATAAAATTCACCAAAGAAGGTAGTATTTAGTTTCAAAAAATAGTTTCATTTTTTATTTTTCAAAAAATTAAAAAATATGAGTGAAACCATATTTGATAATTAAAAATGAAAATAAATTTTAAAAAATTAATCAAATATGAAAATAAAAAAAATATTTTTTTAATTATAAAAATAAGAGATGTACAATATTTTTTTCTTACGTTTTTACAAGTTATCATATTTAAATATTTTTTAATTTCATTAATTAATAAATATATATTATACTTATAATTAAATGATACTAATAATAATATTATTAAATATTTTATTTATTTTTATTTTTATATTTTAAAAAATAATTTTTATTTTCATTGATCATATATATATTTTTTTAAAACAAAAATTAAAAAATAAAAATTATTTTCTCAAATCAAACGAGGCTGAAATTTCTGATAATCCAATGGCGGAAATGAAATTGAGAGCATTGGCCCAATTAGGTTCAACTTCCAAAAGGCCCATTATGAAGCTCTTCCTCTTCTCCTTTGATTTCAAAATGCACAAATCCATGACAGCAGCAGCAACGAAAAAATCTTTAAAAAAAAAGAGAAAACTAAACCCTACCGCTAAAAATTATCTTCAAATTCACGCGAATGTTCCAGTCACAACAGCAACTGCAACAATCTTCATTTACTTACTTCCCTCAACCCTCAAATTCTATCCCCAATTCTCTATTATCATTTCCGCAACCACCAACCCTTCCCTCTCAGCCACTATTGTTCCCTCCAGGGACCGACCCGTATGCCCATACGGGTCAGTTCACCTTAACCCATGTCGAATTTGAAGCGCAGGCTCAATTTTATGAGGACCCAAATGTGGGTTCTGGGAGTTGGATCACTCGACAGGCTGATCCCATTAGATATGATGCTACTGTAAGTTTTTTTTTTGTCCCTTTTTTCGATGCAATTTTTTGTTTTTCCTGTATTGATTAATGTGAATTCTGGATTTTTTTTGTTGGACATGTGTAATTTTTTTGTATAATATTGGGATTTTTATGGAAATCTAAATTGGCCAGTACTAGTTTAAATTTAAACTCCAAAATTTGTACTATTCGAGGTCCAGCATTGAGTTTTTTTCCTAACTGAAAACCGTTAATAGGCTGTGGATTGATGCATTCTGGAATAAATTTTTATATCAGTCATACCATTTGTTATCCTTAATATCTATAGTTAAGTAAATATGAAGAACTTTTCGTTTGTCATGAAAGGGGTATTGTTTTGTTTCTGGGTCGACTAGCAGTCCTATAGTAGTTGGTGACTAAGGAATGTTTCTATTAATGAAGTTTGTGTTTTATGCTTTTAACTATCCTGAAAATGCCACCACAATATGATTGTGCTTATTATGTGTCTATATTCACAAATATCTGTGTTTACTCAATGATCCGGCTATCATCGTTTATATATTTATTTGTGTTAGTAGAATTTATGAATGGCTTTTTGTCATTTAGGTTGTTTATACTTTTTATATTTTGGGTTTTGCAGTCGTCAGTAGTGGCTTTGAATTCCTCTAGTAACAATGATTGGATGAATCAGTCTTTGGTGAATAAGGTACTAGGAAGCACACCAAATGAAAGCAAGCTGATTCAACCAGTGCGGTGCGAGGTTTGCAACATTTTGTGCAACACAAAAGATGTTTATGAGAAGCACCTCATGGGAAAGAAGCATCAGAAGAATTTGCAAGTAAAGATTAACCCTACAACTGCAATATTTCCGGAAGCTTCCAATACAATCAATAATGTAAGCATTGTGGGCCAAACGGGCAATGCTGGTGGACAGATGATATTTGGGGCTTCTGGTGTGGCAAATGGTCAGGAGTTGGAGAGAAAGAAGCAAAAGCTTTTGAGTGCCGGGGCAGCTGTTGATTCTGTTCGAATGTGCACCATATGCAATGTTGCTTGTAATAGCCATGACGCGTTCACTAAACATCTTTCTGGGAGAAGACATGCTGCCCAGGTACATTAATTAGTAAACTAGGATATTTCTGAATAGAGTTAAATTCCAAGTGTTTATTTTTATATTATTATTAACTTGCTTGTAAACATTATTTGACACTAGCCCACTAATGCCTGCTAGTACTGATTTTCTTCATGAGTTTGCTTTTCTTTTTCTAGAAAATGCAAGAAGTTTCAGCTTGGTTTAGTTCCGTATTAGTACAGTTATTTATTCTTTCTAATAACTTTTGCCAATCTGGAACCTATTTTATTAGTAATTCATTTGTTATCTTTGTAACTTGTAAGTTTGGTTTCTGCTTTCCATTTTCATAAGGTTCAAGTAGTATGACACTTATATGTGGGATCATGCAGGCTGGATTAATAGCTGTTGATGGGATTGGACCTTATCTTGCAGCCCTCCGAGCCAATGATCACTTTTGGAAGAAAGGCAAGAAGACAACTAAGATCTATCAATCCACATGGTGTGAAGTCTGCAAAATCAACTGTACCAGCAACGATGTCTATGCAAAACACTTGTCAGGAAAAAAACACCTGAAGAACCTGGAGAATTTGGAAAAATCTAAGAATGGCATCTGTGATCCTTCCATCGATACACCAGCAGCAAGAAATCTGATAATTGGATCAGTAGAGAACCCATCAGCAAATGGTAGCAATGGTGTTAATGTACAACAATCAGAGAAGAGGGCAGCAAAGCCTGAGGCATCCAAAGAGGATTTGGAGATGAAGAAAAGGAAAGTTATGCAGGGTGGAGCAGCAGCTGCTGCCGTTAGAGTCTGCACCATCTGTAATGTGGTATGCAATAGTCAGAAGGTCTTCAGCTATCATCTTACTGGACAGAAACATGGTGCCATGGTAAAGAAGCAAGCAGATGCCAGATAGAGACATAGATGGAGAATGCATGGAAAATTTCTCGTGATTATTGATTATTGTGATTCATGTGATTGTGTATGGCCTGGCCTGCCCACCGTGGCTTAATACATATCTAATTTCCCTCCCAAGGTGCGTTGCACTTAGATATAATGATTAGTTATTGATAATAAGATGAAAGATGGAGAAAGCATTCACCTTCCTACTTAGAGCCAATTGGTCCATGCTTAATCACATTTTTTTTAGTGTGGGTATGAGTAGCTTTCTAAATTCTAACATCATTAAATGCAAATTTACAGAAGGAAAATGTCAAAAGAATGGTATCTAAGACAAATTTTCTAATATCAATAGTTCTTGATACATTAAATTTAGTTTGGCCATTCAAATATAAAAATGAAAAAAAAATTTGTAATTGCAATAACAAATAACAATACAATTTCCATAACAATTTCTTAGAGGAATTATTTCTTTTGAGTCAGACGTTCTATATTATGGTTATGATTAAGTTTTGAATCCGAAACCTTCAATCCTGAAAGATTGGACTGATTTTCGGGCCAGATTCTTTTAAGGCATGTTTCGAGAAAGTCAAGAAACAGTAGATCAATTATGGATCTCGACCGGCAGTACTTTCCAATTTAAATTCTAATTCCTAAAAAGCTGAGCTGGCCAGTAGTGTGGCCATGAACATGATTGTCTTATGTTCTAAAATATTAAAATTATTTCCCGGTTAAATCGCCAACACTTTTTAATCCTTGCAAAAATCAGAAAAACATTGATTCCGGTCGCTTTTTCGAAAGGTGAAAACTTTCCATTGCCCATTTTCGTTTTCCTATAAACAGTTGCATTGTTTGTAAAGTTTGGCCAAATTCATTTTCTTGATAGATTTTTTATACCAAACTCATCAATTCAAGGTGGGTTCTGCTGTTTCTAGTATTTTTTTCATATATGTAAAATATAAATCATGATTTTTTTTCCATTCTTTTGGGTGTTTATAGTTTGTTTTGAATGATAAATTGCAATGTTTCCTTTTTTTTTTTTTTTGGAGTTTCTGACATTTCTGTTGTCGAAGTATCCTATTTACTTATCTATTTCTTGACGGGTTGTTTTTTTTTTTCTTTTCTTTTTTTTTCCTGATCTTCAGGTAAAATTTTGATACTTGGGATATAAGAAGATTTGATTGATATCATTGCAAATGTCAAGTAGCTCAAGGAGTGATGGAGACAACTGTATTGATGTTTATGAACCCTTGGAGATTGAAACAAGATGCAAAGAGGTAGATTCTTTGCCTTGCTGTAATAACAAAGAAAATTTGTCTTCTATGTCTCAGGATTCTCGAAAATAGCCCTTTTTTTCTTGTCTTAACATTTATGCAAGTTGTTTAAGTTTTCATGAATTTCCTATAGTTTCTGTAATAGTCAACTTTAGTTGAACAGCTCAGGATAGTGGCTTGATAGCTCAAGCTGTCCTCTTCTTCTGTATTTTCAGTTTGTTAGATAATGAAGCTTCATTTCATTACTCTGTTATCTGATGGAAGAACAAATGGTCTTTACTTACACATTAATATTTGAGCTTTTGAAGGTTGTTTGGTGTTATATTTATACAGCCGTTCACTGTATTTGTGCTTATAATAACGTTGTTAGTTTGTTATCAATCATGACTTTTAGTCTGTTCGTGCTTAAATTATGTTAGTCTGCCAATCTTTTTATATGCAGTTATGGAAAGAAAAAGAGATGTTGACAGAATCACAATCTCAGAGCTTTGAACTAATCAGGGTAATTTCTGTCTGCCTTGTAAGCCTGTCATCTGGAACATGCTATATGAAACTTTCATTATCCTTATATTCTTTTTCAAAGGAATTAAATTCCGGGATATGTATTTATGAAGCATAAAAAGTCTTCCCTGCATTAGCATTTCAATTTGCTATGACAATTGTGTTCTTCCTGCCCCCGGTACATTATAGTCTATTTGCCAGTCTCGCTGGAAAATAATTTTTCTGTATCACCTAGTTGGGGTTTCTAGAACTAATGTTTTCCTTATTGTGTACCAAGTAACTGATGGTGAATTATGGTAACACTAACAGCTGGGGATGCTGACGTCTGCAATTGCCATCTATACTGAGCTTTTAATGATAATTTTTTGCAATTGAAACTTTCATTATTCTATCTATATTTTCCAGCGTGTTTAGTAGCATGATCAAATATTGAATTGACTTGCAAGCATGCTGTTAAATTAACTCCTGGGGCCAGTTAATTTTTCCTTCCTTTTGGTCTTTGACCATCTCCTAAGATTTATAAACAAAGATCCTGAAGACTACTTGGTGGTTGAATTACAGTAGTTGAGAAAAATAAAAGGAAAAAAATGTGCTGCACCATTGAATATTTCAACCTTCAAACACAAACAAAAAAGGTAGCAATTGAGGTTTAAATCTTTCGATCTTCATTACTGTCTAATTGTAACTTGGTTCACTGCAGGCACTGGAACTATATGTGAAGTCATTGTCTGAAGCTCGTGTCCAAGACAAAAAACATATTCAGAAATTGGAAAGAGAGCTAAAAAACTGCTGTCAAGAAATAGGTAATGATATTTTTTCCTTGAAATATTGCTGAGGGTGTTAACTTGTGTTGCTTTTACTTGTTTATCTCATGGCCTTTCCTTTTGCGTGGAAGTAGCTCCTTGGCATCTGCTAATAGCTCCCATGCTACAGTTATGGTGCTCGTAAAGTATGCATTTCTCTTTGTGCTTTAAACGTGCAAGCAAGTTCTAGTCATCTTAATTTTCTTGCTTAGCTTAGTTGAATTGGATTTGTATTTTAAAAAAATTATAAAAACTCAAATTGTCACCAAGCTTTTATTTTTAACCATTTTGACTTTTTTATTTCCCTAACATTTGGTTGAGATAAATCGTTTCCATTCCTTCTACTAGTAGCACGGTTATTAAATACTGCAGTGGTGTGTTGTGTAGTAGGTTTCATTTGCCTTTTAGTCCAGGCAGGGTAAGTTAAAAGAATTGTTGTGGATCTTGTGATATTTTGGCTCTTTTGTCTATGGAAATTGTTCACTTGTGATATATCATATGATTTCTCTGAATAGATATTTGCATATGTTTTTCTTTCTTTATCTTTCTGTGAATGTGATCTCCTTTGTTCCTCAATAGTTCACCTTTATGATACTTATGGCATCATAGTATGTGGTATGAAAATTGGTTCCTCTCTAATCTTTGGACCATGTATTGAACGCTTAGTCTGTATCCTTTGTAGCACTGGTTGGATGATTGTCTGTACACTGCCTTGCATGCCTGACTTGAGTATAAGTTATTGTTCCTTCAGGCTTAACCTTATGAAGGTATTCTTCAGATTACTTGCAGAATCAACTAAGTGCTAGGAATGACGAGGTCAAGTGTCTAACTGATCATGTGCACAACTTTGAGATCAAATTAGCTGACATGGAAAGTTTACAGAAGAAAGTGGACAGGCTGATAGGAGAGTTGAACTGGTCGAAGTCTGATTGCTTGTTACTAATGCAGGAAATAGAGGACAAAGAAGAAGAGCTGCAACAGTCAGCTTTGTGCATAGAGAAATTGGAGGAGTCAGTTTCATCTATGGCACTGGAATCCCAGTGTGAAATAGAGAGCATGAAGCTTGATATAATGGCCCTGGAGCAGACATGCCTTGAAGCTAAGAAAACTGAGGAAGAACATGTTCAAGAAAAATTCAAGATGAATGTTTTAATTGAGGAACTTGAGGTTCAGCTTCAGAATGCACAGGAAATTATTGAAGCACTAGATAACGAAAACAAAGAGCTAAGAGGAAAGCTTATTACATCTGAAAAAAATGCCAAGATATTCTGTCAAAAGATCAAGGAATGGCTGAAAAGCAAGGACAGATCACAGCTCAATATGCATTCTGTCTTTGGTGAACCAGAAAGCATGATTACATTATTAAAAGATATAAGGTTAGCTGCAACCTAAAATTTGTTATATTTTTCCAATTAGGTTGCACGGTTATCCTGTGTGATCAAATACATTTTTTGACCGTGTGATACTTTGGGAAACAAAAGAAGTTTTTATTCATCACTTTAACATGTACATGCCTCTTTGTAGCCTATTCAGCATATGCCTGCTAAAAGATTTGTTTTCTAAAACTGTCTGATTCAATTATCCTAAATCATTTTTGTTACCTATCAAGGATCTTATAGTTTTTGATGAATTTCCTTCTTAATTCTTTGTAACATTTTTTAAATACTGTTGAAGTGGCTGCAAGGAACTCTTCGGTGTGCTTCTTCCAGAAGTGGCATTAGTGCTGGAATCTGATTCCAATTCGAAGGAACAGGCTGAAAGCATGTCACATCAGATAAATGATTATGATCTCCTGGTGAAGCAACTTAAGGTACAAATTATATCATTAAGAGAAATTATAGTTACCTTTTGTAGTGTTATGGGTGCCAACTAGGTTGAAATTGAGTTTAGTCAGCTCCATTCCCGTCGTCTATTGCTTTTGACATTTCACTTCTAGATTGAAACCAGTTGATCTTGAAAATGGTTACCAGGATGAACTGAGAGAGCAAAAGTTTAAAGCAAAGGAAGAAGCGGAGGATCTAGCACAAGAAATGGCTGAGCTAAGATACCAGATGATGGGCTTGCTTGAAGAAGAGTGCAAGCGCCGTGCTTGCATTGAACAAGCATCTTTACAAAGAATAGCTGAGTTGGAGGTGCAGGTAAACACTGTTATGATAAGTGATCCTTTTTCTCACTGAGTGATGTATTTCGCTTGGAATTCTGATGTTTAGTACTGTTTCCCTTCTTTTTTTGTCAAGATTCAAAAACAGCCCCAAAATTCAGTTGCTGTTGTTAGACATCTCCATGAATCATAAGGACTAGCTGTGGTAAGGATTGTTGATGTCCGATACTTGGAAACCAAGTCGGATGTTGGTACTTTCCTGAATCTTTTTCTTTGCTTTTTTTTTTTCTAGATTGCCCTTAAACAGTTTTTATATTTTATGTTTCCAATGCCCTACATGAACGTAAATGCAACTAATGGTAATATTCTTGCACTCAACTTATTTTCTTAAACAGCATGAGAATTTACTTGTCATTGGGGTTTGGTGGTGTACTTGCATTCATCTCCCCATTTTAAGTTATTACTACCAACTGGTTTGTGCTGGATTCGAACAGAAACGGCTTCCAATGGCTAACCTTAGGAAAGATGTATACCATTTGCATTGACCAAGGTTCGTGGAAGGACGGCAGTATGAGGCGGCCAAATATACCAAGGTAGAGATACTGATATAACAGTGTGCATTTGTATACACGTTTCGAGTTGAGTATAATTATTGTGCAGTAGTTTGTTGTTTGTTGCAGCTGGTTATGAAGCTACGATTTGCATTGGTGTTGTACATTTTTTCTACAAATTTCAGCAAAGAAAAGTTCAGTTTTGCAATTACATTCAAAAAGAGAAGACACTGCATCCGGATCTGGCTCCAAGAAAAATGCTGGATATGGTATTGTTTTCTCCCTCCCCCCATTTATACCTTGTAAGCTATGAAGTAAGGACATTTTTGAACCGCTTGTGTAACCATATTGTATTCGTATTTCATACTTTGACGCTTGCGACACGTCAAAATACATGTCTAATTTACCGAATATGACAAAGAGGAAGAAAATTCTCGTGTGGATATCACCCTCTATATTATTTTATTATTGTGTTTATCGTCAGTTTTTTTTTTTTTACAAAGATAAATATCTTTTAAAAATCAATCTAATATTTATCATATATTTTTATTGGATGATTTTAATATATAAAAATATTTTTAATAATTGCCATATCTCCATGTACGTATCATGTGATATCATATTACATGTCTTTATCCATGTTTCATAGCTCGTAAGATTAAGCATCGAGTGATACGAGGCAGCAAGTCGTTTGTATTGAATACTATCTGAGCCCAAATTGGTTTTCACAACAGTATCTCATGATCGAGTGCCAAAATAGTTGGAAAAACTTAAATTGTTTTGTCACATAGTTGTCTTTCCTTGAAGTTTCGCCAATTTTGTTTGGTGACGAGGTGGCATGTCATTTACTAAAGTTCTAAATCTTCAAGAAGTTTTATTAGATGAAAAGGGTGTATTATATCATAATATATATATATATATATATTTATTTTTTTTTCATAGGAGAGCAAAGCTCTTATAAGAGGATAAAATGACGAGATTAGAATTTTTTTTATCACTAAAACGAAATCAAATATTCGGATGCTGATATGCCCTTAATCCAACATTTTCATTGATTTTGTGTTTGTCAAAATTGTTGCTCAAGATTGTAAATAATCTCAACTTTCCCCGAGCCTTAATTCTAAATAAAAATTGAATAATGACCTTGCCAAGGTCAATAGTGAGCCTGATTTTTCTAGAATCTTGAAAAAGGGAAACCCCATTTGTCAATCTCATCTCTTTAGAAGAAAGAAATTGTCAAGCTTGATATGCCAAGCTTAAGAGAAAAGTCATTACTTAAAACAATTTGATTGTATCACACATTTTTCAATTAAAAGTTTATTCCTTTATTTAATTGCTTTTTTTTATAAGATTATTTTGTTTTATTGTATTATGTTTTCCATTAAGTCATTTATAAAATCCGATTTATTAAAGTTATAATAAATAATAATAGATTTAAAATTATATTTGGATTTTTTTTCAAAATAAAAAAAATCATATTTCAAGCAACAAATGCTAAATACTCTGAAAATTTAAAATTTAAAATATTCTAAATGTACCCTTAACTTAAAAAAAATAATATTTCATGATTTTTAATATCAAAAATAAAAAAATAATTTTAGTATATGAAAATTTTTTTGATTTGACACATTTGAAAAATGAATAAAAAAATAGAGAATTAATTTGTAAACGATTTTGGGAGTTTATTTTTTGCAACTTCTATTGTAGAATTAAACACTTAATTAGAGGTGTTTTATAAAAGCTTATCTAAGGAATTGTACCTACATTAAAATCCATTTTGATGTAACTATTAAATTTTTTTTAAAAATTTAATACTATTAATATTTTAAAATTAAAATTAATTAAATAATTTATTAATAAATAACATTTCAATATAAACCAATCAAATGTAAACTTAAAAAATCTTGTCAAGAAACTTGATTCAAATAAGACTAAACTCACAAATAGATTTGATTATTTAAAGTATGATATTATGATATAATATAAAAATAATATAAATAAAATATATAAAAATAATACATTTTAAAAATTTTAACAAAATAAAAAAGATATTATATATTTTTTGTTAATAAAAATTATAATATATAATTTTTATAATATATTATATAAATATATAAATTATTAATATTTTATATAATATAAATATATAAATTATCAAATTTTCGTATTGCTCTATCTCTATCAATGAATAAGTCAACAATAAATATATTAATTTTTTTCAAAGGAAATTAGCGCATTGAGGTGGTGGGGAGCCGTTTTGGTCAAAATGGGGTGCGATCATCAACTCCATGTTTGATTTGTTCAAAAGTAAAAATATTTTTTTAGTCCTTTTCAAAAATATTATAATGTAATTATGTAACCTATTCTTATGAGAGGGAAATTTTTTTTTCTTTTTATTTTTTTAAATTTAAAATGGCAAGAAGCAAGATCTCTTAAACAATCTAATTACAGTTTGGCCATTTTCTTACCAGTTTCCATTTTCAAGACTTTATCTTTTGAGTCTCAGACGCGTTTGGCGTTTCATTCATCTCCCTCCCTATCTCTCTCTCTCTTTAAAACTCCTCATTTTTTAACATACCATTCGAAAACTTTTCTTTTCCTCTCGGTTTTGTAGTTTGAACTTCGTTTTCTGTTGAATTTCGCAAGATTTTCTCTGTATTTCCATTTCTTCAGGTACTCACAAGGTTCTATCTTTTCTTCTTTTCTTCCTTTCTTTCGTTTTTGCTTGCTTTCTGCATATGGGTTGTTTCAGTTTTCTTGCTTTTCTTATTGAAACAAAACGAACTTTCTGATTAACCAAACAAAACCCAGTTTTTCTTTCTCTTTTTTTCCTGTATTATGTGAATGATTTTTGGTCTTTTATGGATTTTTTTAGTATGAATTTTTGAGCATCCTAGGTTGATATCTTGAATTCCTGATGGGGGTTCTTTTTGAGTTTTGTACTTTGATGTTTGCTTCATGGGTTTCTTAGTTGCTTCTATGTTTGATCACCTGCCAGGAAAACTGCGAGAATCTTATGACTTGTCCTTTTTGTTCTCGGGGTCTTTTAGGGAGTGATGAAAAATACCAAGTCAACAATCATTCTTTGATGATAAATTTAGCATTTTAACATTCTTCTTCTAATTATGGGGTATTGTCCTTTCTGATTGTGTTACTTTGTATGTGAGTGGTGATCTACTTTTTTTTGTTGCTTTTGGCCTTTTGAATCCCTTTTTAGTCCGTTTTCTCAAGTATTACATGGTAAACTTTTCCCTCCATAACAATTTCAAACGGAAGAGTTTGAAGGCAAGAATTTTTTGTAATTGGATTTCATTATCTTCCTGATAATTTCACCTTTGGGGCTACAGGTTAATGCATATATTATCTACTTACCGAATTCGTTTGGTTTTCTGCCTTATGTCTCTAATTTTTCTTTGCTGCCGTGATTTAATATGTGAATGTTGATTTGATTTGCAGATTAAACAATATTTGACTTCTTCCTGTCAACTGCCTGATCAAGCAGCATATTTTTACTCATTAAAAGAATGTTAGGTTTAAAGAAATCTCCATTTAAGACTGCCAAGCATAATTCTGTTGATCCTGGGCGTGTTGCACCTCGCTCCAACCCGTTTGATTCTGGTGACAAGTTGGACAATAAGCAAACCCTTAAACCTTCCAGAAGGACTTCTTCTGAACCTACATTGAATCCTCCTAATTTTGGGACCAATCCTTTTGATGATGAAGAAGAGAAAGTGAAATCTTCTTCTTCTTCATATTGGCAAACTTCAGCATCACGAAACAACTATAAGAATGATTTTCGTGACTCTGGAGGACTAGAGAACCAATCAGTGCAAGAATTGGAGAACTATGCTGTCTACAAGGCTGAGGAGACTACAAAGACTGTGAATAACTGTATGAAGATTGCAGAAGAAATGAGAGAGGGTGCCACCAAGACTTTGATCACCTTACATCAGCAGGGTGAGCAAATTACCAGGACCCACGACGCGGCTGCTGGCATCGATCATCACCTTAGTCGGGTATGTCTTTTGTTTTGAAAAGCAAAACCTTATGCTAGATGATAGAAGAATAGCCATAGAATACAAAGTCAAGAAAAATTTTGTGATTGCTTCTTTCTTACAGTTTATAATTTCATAAATATGATGATATTTGGGTTTTGTTCATGTTGCTAGCACAATGATCATAGAGTCACCTAAAATTAAATTCTTAATGAGATAATGAGGTTTGAGTTAACACTTTTATAGGATTGATCGGATAGTATTCCCCCAGACATCACAATATGAAATGTTCATGTTATGAAACTTCAGAACCTGAAATCCTCTGTAGTCCGTTCCTCATTCAGTAGACTACTTTATAAGAAACCTACTTGAGGCATATAAGATCACTCACCTAACCTGCTCAGCTTTGTAAAAGCTGCTGTCTTGCTCTGCCACAGGCAATATCTCTGATCTACCCCATTAGACCATCTGCCTTGACACTGCATGGATCATCTCAACCACCTCCATCTGCTATGTAACTCATGATTTCTGCCTCTTCAGACAGTTTATAGAGGGAAATGTTTGATAAAATGCAGGAAGGAAACTAGTCTTTATAATAGGTAGCAATATAGTTTAACTAGAAATAAAGTAATTGTATCTTGGTGGAATTGCCAGTTTTTAAAAGTAGTTGAATTTCAGAATTTATAACTTTGGTGTTCCATGAAAATTTGCTCTTCTATGCATGTTCACCTTTCTTATCTCTTATCCCTCATCTTTCATTTCTTCCTTCGTGTGAAATGTTGTTTTTCTTTAAATTCACAAAATCCTTTCACTTGATTGTTAAATGTTAGACTTTCTGACTGCATAAATTTAGAGCCTAAGTGCTGGAAGTATATATTATTATTGATTGAAAGTGAATAAGTGATACATATGACTTGATTGATTGACTGTTTAACTGTCGATTTGTTCTCTTCTTGACCTTCAAAATATTAATAAATCTTTCAGTTTTCCTCGTCTTGATCAATCTTATGGAATAAAAGGGACACTCTTAATGATAGTATCTTTCTGATTACAGGGTGAGAAGCTTTTGGGAAGTCTTGGAGGCATGTTCTCTAAAACTTGGAAGCCAAAGAAGACTCGTCCAATAGTTGGCCCTGTTATAACAAGAGGTCATTTTTCTTTCCATACCCTGCATGAATTATCTGTTCGTTTTTTCCCTTTATTTGAGAAAAATTTGTATGATTTCCTGTAATTAAAGGTTGGTGGTGACTTTGGAATTGTTTCTACATCCATGTTTATTTGTTTTATTTTTAGGAACTGTATGTATAATACTGTAATTTACTTGGTCTACAGATGATTCACCTAAGAGAAGGGTTGGCCAGTTGGAACAGAGGGAGAAACTGGGATTGAATCCTGTTCCTAGGGGACAATCAAAATCTCGAACACCACCCCCTGAACCCACAAATGCATTTCAAAAAGTTGAGGTGTGTGTTGTGCCCACCCCCCCCCCCCCTTTTTTTTTTAAGAAAAATGATTTAAAAGATTAGTGCATGAGATGCAGACATGGAACAACCCACTAAGCTTCTTTTTTTTTTTTGGGTTTGTCTAAGCAGGTTGAAAAGGCAAAGCAGGATGATGCCCTCTCCGATTTAAGCAATCTACTGGGAGAGCTGAAGGATATGGCCGTTGATATGGGATCTGAAATTGAGAGGTTAGTTTCTTGTTAATTTTCTTAAATGGTAGCCTGTTTCTTTTTCATTTTTGGGTTCAACTCAATTATATTTTTAACTTCATTTGACTTTCAATCTTCCAATTTTAGATTAATTAAAAGGAAGTAAGTCACTTGTCGATTTTCTATTATGGTCATAAGCTCTGCTGCATTTTGCCTGCATTTTTGGTTACATAAGTACATTTGACACTAACAACTACGCTTAAACACTTATTGCAGGCAAAGTAAGTGTCTGAATGGTCTCGAAGATGATGTGGATGAACTAAATATCCGTGTGGGAGGTGCAAATCAACGTGCTCGTCGATTACTTGGGAAGTAAGACTTGCTTGCATATGCTGCCATCCTGTCCAACCCTTCTGTTGTTTCATTCTCTATCATAATGATCCCCATGCACATGCAAATTGGATTGAGACGGTCTCCTGCTTCTTTTCTTTTTTTCTCATCTATTAATATACATTTGAACTCTTATACAACTTATTTTTGACTACATTTCATGTATAATCATTACCCTACAATCATCTAATCACAATTCAAAATTATGTAAAATTTATCAAAATTTTGTATGAAATTTATACTTATAATTGATAGATTTTTACATAATTCTTTATTGTGATTGAATAATTGTAAGATTATAATAAAAAATATATAATAGGTGAAATGCATATGAAAATTTTCACTTGGTATCACCTTAATTACAGGTCTTGATGTAAAGATTCAAAACTAATAGTATCAACCAAAGGTTAATTTAGTGAATCGAAGTTTCATGGCAGTAATAATTTGTGATTTAAAATAATGTTATATCAAGATTATAAGATAATTTTCACCAACTCAAGCCCATGGGATCATCACTTTGAAGCTATGGTTAACAGATAAACTGTTACATTGCTTGGTATATGCAAGTACTAGCTATCTAAGATTTTTTTACATCAAAAAAATGAAAGAATAGGATTGACGGCGTGACTGAATTTTGGAACGAATTTTGGACCAAGGAGATCATGTATGCTCTTCAAACAACTAGTGTAAATCAACCAAAAAAATTCCATCCTATCTTCTCCTCTTCGTGTTGGAAGAGATGGGGGGTATTAAGGATATTAACATCAACAATGAAAACCATTAGACAAAGATGATGGGCAAAATCCAAGATTACAAACTAACAAACCCCAAAAATTCATAGGGTTAAAGCAATGAAACAGAAAATTTCACTGTAAGCCAAGATAAATCTAGTGACTAGTGAAAGCCAAATCTCTAAACAGAATAATGGCGTGTCCCGTTTTCTGGCAATACAGCAAAAGTCGTGATGTTAAATATGTCTCTAAAAGGCAAACGCAAATTACACAACCTAAAAGAGTAGGCCAACCTTCCCTGAGATTTACAATGCAGGCAGTGACCAGAGGGTTCTTGTATCCTAAAATTTATAATCCTCATCTAAAAGCAAACTGTCAGAAAGAGGGGCATAATTGCATATACCTGATCCATTGCAACGACAGTAGTATTTACTTCAATAAATCTATAAGAACCACAAGTCAGAGTTAAACTCAAGAAACATAATGATTACTAAGACAAAGAAGCCATTTGCAAGCATAAATGTTTCCATGGGTTCCATCTCTGAAAAGTAAACACAGCGATGAGCATATTTACACTAATAGTCGGAAAACTCTATGGGGTTTATGGATCTAGGCATCTAACATCGTCTTTAGGGTGCCTAAATCTGCCTAAACATGGAACATGAAAAAGATTTACCAAGATGGATCATACCAATAAATGATTTCAAACTCACCCTAATCTCTTTTCCAGCCATAAAACTTCATTAATCTCAATACAAGTTCCACTTCAGCAATTGAAGTTTTGTTGCCAAAGTAATATATGGCTAGGAATTGTTACTCCAAAATACCTTCAACCTTTGTCAAAAGCATGATAAAAAGGCCATTGGTTAAGCTAGGAAATACCATCGGACATGCTTCTCAAAACCTTTATCTAATAATTATCTAACTTCTACTGACTTCTTTAACTAGCACACCCTACATGCTAGGGGTTGTTAAAAGATTCCAATCTCAGAATCCATATCCAGATATCCTAAAAACTACTTCAGGTTTTACCTAAAGGAAGGGAAACAAGGCAAAGAGCGAAGGATATCATCAAAGACATTTCCTTCCCATAACAAGCCAATTGCCAGTAACTCAATGCCTGCAAAAGTAATCTAATTCAACTTTCAACTCAACAGATAATAATTTAAATCTCTAATATCATTCTTTTGCCTAAGTTCTCAAAAGGCCACAACTTGAATGTGTAATAAACATTTTGTTACATGACTAACATCTGAAAACATGGCTTCGACATGCTTGATATTTACAAGGATAAAGTGATTAACTAAAATAATGAGAATAACAAATCAATAATCAAATCAAAATTCCGCTTTCCCACATAAAAGAGCAACATGAACTAACAATCTAGCTATGATGAAGCTTCCAAATCTGCATATCTATTCAAGTTACACCTCCAACACCAAAAACCCAGATTATCTTACAGCTAAAAAGGGCAAAAAGGCATTAACTTACTAGCTAAAAGAACCATATAGTTCAATAAGACTAAAAAACCAAAATCCCATATGTCACATAAAACAAACAAAATTCCACATGCCATTAATCCAAACTGTGAATTAAATAACAAAATTCAACTTCATACACTACAAAAACTTAATCTTCACCTCAATGAGTCAAAGTTTATTCGAGCAAAAAGTAACGATATATTTTATTAAGAGGGTTTAATATCCATGATGCTTTTCACCTTTGGAGCATAGAGGGAATACACGATGGCTTGTCTTTTAGCGACTTCTAGCTGAGCTTTACCGTCGGAGAAAGCGGCGAACAGCTGGGAAGGGTCGGTTAAGTTCTTCTTGTCTCGAAACGCGTCGATGGTTCGTCGTTTTGTGTACTCTCTTACGTTGTAGTCGCAGAACTGACGCGCCACTCGGAGCAGTGAACGGTAAAGCTGGAGAACCTCGGCTCTCGTCGGCGCTGCTACCCCCGACGCCGCCATTTGTGATTTGCCTTTTTCTTTTTTTCTTTTTTTTTTAGATATTTATAGTGATTTTCTAGAGTCTTGTGGGAGGAGAGATTCTTCGCGTAGTAGCTTTGCCTTGCTGACTAAGACCACGGAGCCGTCGAGCAAAACGCGTCGTTTTAGCTTTTCATGATAAGAAAAAAAATTAAATGAAATTAACCAATAATCCAATCTGATATTCTCCTAAATAGGAGTAAATATAAATCCACTTATTTGAATTTGGATTTGAAATTTAAATTTGGACGATAAAAAGTGAGATTTTAAGTAATATAAAAAAATAATTAAAATTTTTTATATAAAAATAAATAAATAAATATTTAAAAATAATTCATAAATAAATTAATTCATCTATTAAATTTAATAAATAATCATAAATAATATTTTAAAATTTTAAAAATAAATAAATAAATCATAAATATAATAAAATTAATTTATATTCTTTTTTATATTTATAAAAATAAACAAACAAAATATTTAATATAAATTTAATTAAAATTCGTTTATTAAATTTAATAAATTATAATAAATAATATTTTAAAATTTGTTATTAAACTTAACAAGATGTAATTACATTTATTAATTAATTAAATTTTTAATATTTTATAAATATATAAACATATGTCAATAAATTTAAATTTTGTATGATATAATTTTTCATAATTAAATCATTATATTGAATTTCTTTACTTTTTAAAAGATTTAAAAAATAATAAATAAGTAAATATAATTTCTCTTTTTATATTCTACTAGTATTTTTTTTTTAACTGGCCGAAAATATTATTCCTATTTACCATTTTCCTTCTAAGTTTTTCCCTCCCTTCATCTATGTCGGCAAAGGCCAGCAATAAAGTAGTAAAAGTTACTGTGTGAATCTTAGAAAAATATTTTTATATAAAAGAAAAGATGGTGTCGGATCTCCGTTATGTAAATTATAGAAAAAGGCGTTTATTTTCAGTCTCTTTGGGCTTAGATCTCTCTACCCCAAAAATGGCTTCCCTTTGGCCACTAACTTTGATTTGCATTTTCGCTTTCTCACTCTCCGTTGCTCATTCCAAAACTCTCAAGAGAGATGGTAAGTTTTCCTTTTGCTCTTTCCACTGGATCTTCATTTTCTTTTTTTGGGCTCTGTTTGGTTACCGAGAAAATGTAGCAAGAAATAGTTAAGAAAAAGAAATGTTTTTTTACTATACCCAGATTGTCATACTTGTTCGTTTCATTGAACTAAAAAAAACCCATGTTTTTGGTGCCAAGTAAGTTGGTTCTTTTAGTAATTGTGTTCATTTTTATGAATTAATGTTGTGATCTTGTTGTTTCTTTAGTTACTTTTGGATCTTTGCAGAGATGATTTTTGCTTTGGTTATTTGTCCATACCCGTTTAGCTCGAATTTTTGTAGAGCAACTTAGTTGATATATTTACATAAATTGATCTTTGTTTAATGGTTTTGACCCTTTATTTTTGGCTAAAATCTAAGAATCTGTTTTATCAGTTTGCAAAATTAAAAGATAAGAGCTTTTAAGTTGGCTTTTAGGGATGTCTGATCTTTAATCTTTATTATTACTGTTGATGTTGTGAGAATTTGTTATCCCTGCATTTGCAAATTCCCCTTCCCTTTTGGCATCCTTTGTACCAAAAAGAAAAAATAGAATGTAAATGTGTGCAATGCAATGGCTTAATAGTTGGTTTTTTTTTTGGCAGTCAAAGCCTTAAATGAGATAAAAGCATCACTTGGATGGAGAGTGGTATATTCGTGGATTGGGGATGATCCCTGCGGAGATGGTGATTTACCACCTTGGTCTGGTGTAACTTGTTCTACTCAAGGAGACTATAGAGTTGTTACTGAATTGTAAGCATCATAGGTGCTATGCATCCTTTAAAAATTTTAATTTATGCCTCAATAAAAAGCTTAATATTCTTATTAGTGAAAGGCTATGCCTTTGCTTCATTAATGCAACCTAATGAACATAAAATGCGTTTTGCTCTCTCATTCTATGTTTTATTCCAACTTGTATCTACATCTTATGTTAGGGTTTGGGAAAAGATACTCAAGTGAATACTTTTCTGTCATAATTGAATTCAAATGCCTTTCCCTGTCTCATTCTATGTTTTACCAACTTGTATCAATAACTTATGTTGGGGGAAAGATACTCAAGTGAATGCTTTTCTGCCTTGATCCACTATTGAACATAATTCTATTTGTTTCTATCGATTTTGACCTTGGCTCATGATTATGAACATTTGCTTTTGCAGGGAAGTATATGCAGTATCAATTGTTGGTCCTTTTCCTATTGCTGTAACTAATTTGTTGGATTTAAGAAGGCTGTAAGTTCACTCTTTCTTGCCTATAAGCTAAAATGTTTTCACTCCGAAGATCAACAAAACCTGTTCCTTGTTATTCGTTTTCTGACTGTGCTTCAAAGTGAAAATCAAATCCTCTGTAAACTGGCTTCAAGTTACAAGATCTAATTTTGAGCTCATAAGTTCTTTTGGAGTCTTTTAGGAGTCTTTTAGGAGTTACAATATCGCTCTTGATCCATTGACCATGCAAATGAAATTGGCATTTTAAAACAGTAAGAACATATAAATGAATAAGCAACCTGTGCACTTTTTTTCTTCCTTCTAATAAGGGCAGAGAAAAAGAGAGAAAAAAATATTGGGCTCATAACTCAATAGCATGATGCAAGAATGGGTTCTTCTCTTCACCTTTTTTATGTTGCTCCAATATCTTTGCACCTGCATCAATTGCCTTACTACACCTAATGTGGATTTGCGTGTCTTGTATACAGTTAATGTGAATAATTTGTACATCACCATTTACATTCAGTGCTATTAATTGTTTACATAATTACAATCCCCTGAATAGTGATGAAATAATGTATCATGTAGCATCTTGGAATGTGGTTAGTCTTGGTTCTCACTAACATAAAAGTAATTATATATACAAAATAAGCATAGGGGCTACCATGTAGATGTTTTAGCCTCTAAAATTAATTTAAGAGTTCTAAGTGTAAACTTTTTCCTTCTTGACTTTGCTAATTTGGGCAGGGATCTCCATAACAACAAGCTGACTGGCCCAATTCCTCCCCAAATTGGACGGCTGAGACGACTGAGAACGTTGTATGTTTTCTTCTTCTGTAAACTGTTATTGGTGTGGGAGACTTAATAATAACTCTCTCTTTCTCTAGATATCAGCATGAATTGACTTATTTCTTGTAATTCCCTTTGAGTTTCACTTAAGAGTATCTGCACTCTTGTTTTCCTTCAAAACTATTTTATACTGTATTTTGCTGTAAGTGAAGCAATTATCATTTCCAGGTCTTTGTTATTATTTAAGTAATTGCTCTGAAATATACCATATGCATCAGTTAGGCTACAGTATGTTATATAAAATATAAGAACCATGTCACCTTTACTTGCTATGTTACACTCGTCAGTAGATCCAAGCTTCATTATTGGATAACCACTAGACCAATACTTAGAATTGCCCTTCTTTTTTAATGAAAGAATGGCAATAAAATTGTAGGCAAAAACATTTTAGTTGCTTCAAAATTTGTTATCTTTAATTTGAAATAAAGTTCTTTCAAATTTTAATGACTAACTTCCCCCAATTGTACAGAAATTTGAGGTGGAATAAACTCCAAGATGTCCTTCCTCCAGAGATTGGTGAGCTGAAAAGACTAACCCATCTGTGAGTATTTTTTATATTTGTTGAAATCTCTCTCTTTTAGCGTTCAATGTGTTTGTATGTACATGCATGCTGGAATGAGTTTGGAAATATCTAATTGAAATTTCTTCAGGTCTCTGAGCTTTAATAATTTTAAGGGTGAGATTCCGAGGGAGCTTGCCAATCTACCAGAGCTTCGCTATCTCTACCTTCAAGAAAACCGTTTCACTGGGCGAATTCCACCGGAATTGGGCACTTTACAAAACCTTCGGCACTTGTAATATTCTATCTACTCTTTGCTGTAACTTTCTGTAACATTTTGCAGTTATCCTTTATTGGCATAATTTTCATAACTATGCTAAATGATCATGTTTGTTTCTCCAGGGATGTTGGTAATAACCATTTGGTGGGTACTATTAGGGAGCTTATTCGTATTGAAGGAGGCTTTCCAGTTCTACGTAATTTGTATGTTATATTGTATTTATTAGTGTGTTATGAAACTCTTGTCAATTATTTTTGTGCAAGTTTTTGCATGATTTTGTTTTGCTATAAGATCCAGTGTGCATTTTTCTTAAGGTTTGCATTTGATGCAGGTATTTAAATAACAATTATTTGACTGGAGGAGTTCCTGCTCAGCTGGCTAATTTGACAAATTTGGAGATATTGTAAGTGCCACTAATATATTTATTTAAGTAATAGTCTAAGCAATTTGTATTATGGGATTCTTCTTCGCATTGGAATCACTTAAAACTTTTTTTTTTATCGGTTACAGGTACCTTTCATACAACAAGATGTCTGGAGTAATACCATCAGCACTTGGCCATATTCCTAAATTGACATATCTGTGAGATTTCCTGAAACAATTGTGTCTAGTTTGATTTGGAATTTTAGACTAATTTTCTTGCTGAGTCTCTTTCACTTTTTAACGGAAATGCTTTTCTTTTACTTGGCTAATTTTTAAGGAAAAAAAATAGGGGAGAGGGAGGGTGTTTATTGCATGAATAACAGATTGCATGAACGTATACTGTGTTTGATGTTTAACTTTTGCTTGTGAACTTCAACAATAACAGGTATTTGGATCATAACCAATTCTCAGGCAGGATTCCAGATGCATTCTATAAGCATCCTTTCTTAAAAGAACTGTGAGTTACCTTCATCACTTAATTTGCAAGGAAAATAGCCACTTCGGAAACTGAAAAAGAAATAAATAGTAACTTTTTTTCCTTGTACCAATTGCAGGTATATCGAAGGGAATGGTTTCCGGCCAGGTGTAAACCCCATTGGTGCACACAAGGTTCTTGAACTCTCAGACACAGATTTCTTGGTTTAATCAAACTGTCCAAAAGACTACTAGAAATCTCATGGCCATGGGTTCCAAGAAAGTATGGGGCTCGTATTTAATACTGTATTCTTTTACTATGCTAGAGGAAATAGTTATGCTAGTTATTCAAAGTCAGTGGTGTTTGTACTGTTGGTATGACAAGCATGTCCTTTAGAATTATCTGCAACGATATTGTATCAATATGTGGTGTTTTATGTAAACAGCTGAAAGCTGGAATTGAAGATGGACAATGATCAAATGTCACATTTGTATTAATGAAATTTGATTTTGAAAAGGAGAGGAAGCTGTCTTATTGGCCTTCAATTTATGTATGATGCTCTATTTTGTAACCAAAAAATATTACTGAAACTGAATCATTGTTTAAACTTCAAAAAAAAAAAAAAAAAAACATAGGTCTGAGTTTCTGAGTACTAAAAAGAAAAACTACTGATAATGCCATAAGATATTTTCCTTCTTGAACAAATAATGCCATAAGACTGGCTTTGATCTATTGAATGTGGATGTCAGTAGGGAAAAAGGGGGAAAAGAGAGCCCCTATTTCTGTTCTGCTGACTAAACAAAGCTGCAGTAAGTACTCAAAATATCTGGGATGAAGCATGAAAATAACTTTCTTACAGTAATCTTTTCTATGTTGCCAAACTTTAAATAAATAACTTGACATCAGAAATTACTGGAGGAGCTAGTGATAATTACAATTGCTTGAAACTATATTCGCCATAAACTAATAATTCTGCTATCATACAATTATCATATTCAACACCTCATTATTGCATTACTGCTGTATGGAAAATAGAAAATTATCCACAGGCTTTAGCTTCAAAGTTGGGGAATACTATGAATGCAATCGACAAAGGAGAGATGGATATTGGAGATTTCACGTTAACATGGACAGGGTCTAGCCTTGGGATGTTTCCAGCACCGGTAAGTTCCAAGGGAATGCCGTTAAGAACCATAGTTCGGCTTTGAAGGTACCCATCTTTTGGAGTTAAATGATATTCCTCTCTGAATAAAGGTTCATCTGAAGCTTTAACTCCAACCCAGGAAAATGTTTTCTTAAGACTATGTGAGAAACTGTCACTGCTGATGTATTGTTCTTCCACAGCCAACTTGAGGTTGATGCTATTTTGAACATTCATTATGAAATTTGTCTGATTGCTCAAGTTGATCACGAGTAAAGTCACACCAGCCTGCAACAGGATGCCAAGTTCATAGTCAAAGAAACTGTAAAAAGATCTACATTAGAGAAATCGTGTTTCAATTTCAAAAAGTATGATCTAGTTGGCTCAATGCAAACCAAATAAAAGATGAATAGCACCAATCTCTACACCTAGATGGGAAATCACCGTGACACGTTTAAAAGAATGAATTTCAGGTTTGAAATGTTTGATAGTCTGCATTAATTAAAGGAGAAGAGGGATGTGAGTAAGTGAATGTTCAAATAAAGTAAGCCTTGGAGCGTGAGCCATCAAATTCCTGGTGTGATCGCAAATAGAACCTCAGGCAATATCTCACATTAGCTATGGTTAAGCCCCTGCCTAGAGAAACAAGCTAGGAAAAACGCAACTAAAAGTGGACTGTTTTTTTTTTTTGAAGATATAAGTACACATAATTGGGCAAGTTTGTATGCTTGTTCTTACTTGGTCCATAGCAATAGGTGGGATCTTACTTACGTAGAACTGCCTATGACTAATGCTAAAACTGGAACAGCAGCAAGAAGATTGTCCTTCAGATGGTTACTAATTAGCTGAAAGTACTGGTGGATTGAAACCTTCTCCATCATATTAAATACAGCTAGAAATCTAAGAATCTGAGGCTTTTTTTTCACTGTCAGCCTTACAGCTAGGATTCCTACATTCTCATTATAGTCTTTCTTCAAGAATAAACTGGTATAAAAGCAAAAGAAGAATTGACTTACTCTTCCTTTTGAACAATGGGCATAAGACCGCAGAAAGGGTGAAGCATCGCTATCAACAGCTAGAACCACTTTTCCCATTAACCGATGCCATAGAAGTGCACTGTTTAGGACCATTATAACAAAAAGGTATAAGGACTCCGCGTACAAGTCCAGCGCAGTCATATATGAAAAAACTTTTCAGTATCTTCTTCATTGTTACCCCTCCCCCTTCAGTTTGATCAAACATTTAAATGACACAAGCAAAACAAACTAAAATGTATACACTCTGGTAAAGAATTTCTAATCTCTTGCTCTTGCCTGTAATAATCAGGGTTGGGAACATATGTTGTTGCGTTGAGAAGGCCATAGTTCCCACCAATTAGTGTTTGCCTACAATATACTTTGGTATGATACTTGGATGCCATTCCAAGCTGATCTAAATACCTAAAATCGTGTACAAGGGAAATAAAACTTGAGCATTCATACATGAATAAAAAGAGAACAAAGATAATTAAAGACGCTGGGAAAGTGTTATTACCAGAAGCTGTTTACAAATGTATCAGAAACGTTAAAACCTCCACTGTTATAGGCTCCACCAGATTCTCCAACCCATGCAGAAGCCCAAGGACCATACCTCTGGATTACTTGTGTAAGATTGCTGAATGTATATGCTGCCTTGCTTAAATGGGTGGGATCCAATATCCTACTTACAAGTTTGGGATCAACACCTGAAATAAAAACAGGGTTTAAAAAGCATAAAATGGAGGCAGGATCAAACAGTAATGTATCCATGCATTGAGCATTCATTCTGTGACTATGGATCCTAAACCAATAGTTCATTTGTAGGGGAGTTGGCTGTAAAAGTACATCCTGCAAAACAATTTGGTAATACCCGAACTCACCTGCACCCAAATTGTATATGTGATGACTCATGGCATTGAGTATGCTCGAGCCTGAGATCTGAAGAAGCTTGGCAAACCACTGTTGGTCAAAAAATCCTCCAGGTGCTACAAGTGATGGTTTAAATTGGGAGCCTTTATATAGCTCATTTAAAATTTTCTTTAGGTGGATCAAGTCTTTCCCGTACTGGTCAGCAAGAACATGTGCACCAACACCATTTCCACTCAATTCGTTACCTAAAACAACGAAGGCAACATTAGAGGTGAGAAGAAGAGAAAGATGGTATGCATATGTAAAGTGCTTTGCCTAAACTTCTGTACCAAATTCCCATGAATCTATCTGGTATCCCTTTGAAATGGTGTACTTCATAAAATCTTCTGCATTGCTAGAGTCCCAATCCCCTCCCCAAAGGCTCCTCTTTACTTTATATCTCCCATGGAGTGCATTCAAGCCGAATGTCAACATCACACTGCAAATGTAGGATTAGTAATAATTGTATCAGCAGCATAAGCCTAGTCTACTCCTTCAAATTGAAAAACCTTGAAAGCTATAGAATAAACTCAGAGAAAAACTTCCTAAAATATACATTTTTCTATGAGAATCTACAAGAAAATTTATTGCCATCATAAAATTGTCCATAAATCCATCTTTACATCACCTGATTAAAATCTCATCCAACTTTCTCTGGGATTGAATTTGTAACAAGCTTATTTCTTACATTAACATGTTAAATTCAATAACGAACGGATTCCGTCAAACTTTCTGATTAAATCAGTAACACCAAACCCAAATGACATTTGGATTAGTTGAACATATTAGCCATAATATGACATGAGGTCCTTATTAAAATTTTTAAAATAGTTAGACTTATACTAGAATATCTTCATGTCTTAATGGCTTATTAGCAAAAGAATTGGTGCTAATATAAGTACCCTATTTTGTATTCGGCAAAACACTTTGTTCTGTCCAGAAAAGAAGATGTGAGATTGTAGGTCTCAAAAAATCTCTGTGGATATCGTAATGGATCCTTACAAGTACTCGATGGAGGATTGCGGGTGTCAAAAAAATCACCTTATTAGATACGAATAAGAAAATAACCTAGCTCAAGCCACTAAGTTAACAGACCATATGCACATCAGAGACCGAAAACATTTGTCCTTTGGGTGAAGAAGGAGAATGATATTTGAAATTCTAGGATCTTACCCTGTTGATTTGAAGAAATGATTCAGATCATCCCACCTTTCCATGTGTAAACATCCCTTTGAAAATCCAAACAACCCACCTTTCATCTTAGTAAATGGATGGCAAGGAGACTTCAAATTTCCAACATTATACAACACTTGATCTTGCAAAGAGCCTCCAACTCTTATCCTCAAACGGTTGAAAGCTGACAATGTCATGAAAATAAAATAGCATCATGCTTCAGGACAACAGAATTCAACAACATACTCATAACATCTATGTCACAAAGAAAGCTACATCATTACTGAAGTAGAAATACAAACCTTGGACAGCTTTCGCAAGGAAAGTATGAGACAAGTCCTGTTAAAAAAAAAACAGAATGAGATGTTACTAAATTCCTTCAATTTTTCCAAAAGCTTTACAGAATGAATTGACAAAATTCTATGAAAAATCGTTTAATCTTATGAAGAGGATAGTTCTTCTTAATCCTCACCAGATTTATTACAGATGTATAGTGCCATGGACACTGCTTGTAATCACACTTATCATGAGGCCACCAATCAATTGTAGCACAGATGAAGTTATCATCAGTTTGAGCAACCACAGTAGTCCCATCAACTACGATTGTCCCATGACTAATATCTTCAGCCAAAGTTGCAGGGATGGAAGCCACAAATAAGAACAAAATGAGGCAAAATTCCATTTCGTAAATCAATTGTAACAGCCTGCTCGCTCCAACCTCAACGTTTAATTTAACTGTGACCCTCAAGGGTATACAATTATATCAGAAACAAAACCTCTATGGTAGCATTTGATAAGAAATGAGTGAGATTCAAAGTATATTTCAAACAAAAAAAAAAAAGACAGTAAGTTGACCCAAACTACAAAGTCTATCACCTTTCCAGATTATTACTCACTTGGAAGAAATCAAACCTTAAGACCTTGCTCAGCTGTTTACAGCATCCAAAAATATATAAGCAATGACCTAAACCAAAGCAGTGCTAAGTAAAGATACAGTGGGATTCAGACTTAAAATTGGATAAGACACAACTTCCTACTTCTTTTATTCCATGGAAGAATTGCCACTGACAATGAGCTAATTTAACATTTTCTATGTAAATTCCAGAAGAAGATACCTCTTTTCTGAAGAAAAGAAAAGTATTAATCATAGAAGTAGCATATGTGACTTTATAGCTTCAGTGAGATTACCATAACAAACAACCATAAAAGCATACACCATCAACATCAATATCAACAATGTTTGATGAGGCAATGAGCTGAATAAAAAAACAGATCTCAAAATATCAAAAACATTCTCACACATCAACAGACATATGCCTGAAGAATAGAAGAAGAATTTTTTTTTTTTCACATCGTTTACTCTTAAAGAATGAGAAGATACAAAAGCAATGGAAGTTTCAAAATTTTAACAAAACTAAAAGCAACCATTGAAAAAAGTAACCTGAAATTGCCAAAAACAAAGAACACAAGCTCAACTCTAACAGGTACAACAAAAGGAAAAACGCAAAAGTATCCAGATGCAATTCAAGGAAAACAAGGACAACCCAGATAAAAAAAAAAAAAGAAGAATACTGACCTCCAAAAAAAGCTAGAAACCAGCCATTGGAAAAGCAAACAGAGAAATGCAGTGAAGTTTCCTTGGAAACAAGTACACCAATAATGTTCAAAAGCTTTAGTTTTTCTTTACCCAAAATACAAGCTTAATCTGTCTGTCTTGGTTCCTTATCCTTAGGCTCCTGTTATTTTCCCATGACGAGATAAACATGTTTGGTGAAATGGGTGGGTCTCAGATTTGTCGTTTCGACAAAAAATCATTTTAAGATTCTTGTCCAAAAACGAATGTAGAGCAGTAGTTTTTAGTTTAGCACCCAAAAAAAATGACACAACTGCTCTAGAAACGGAGTATGTGTGGCCGTGTGGGGCCAACAGTCAAGTGACTGTTTGTTTCCAAGAAAAAGCCAAATTGAAAACAGTAAATCTTGTTTGGTTTCAAGATTCCAAGTTTTCTTGGAGAGGTTGTAGTTGGTTTTAAGTTGAAGTAATGCCTTAACCAAATCTTTACTTATACTTGGAACAATGGTTTCGTTCATGGTTTTCATGATCCTTTCTTTTATTGGGCTTCCTATAAAAAATATTTACGTATATATATATATATATGACAAAGAAATGTGGTCATCTACACCACATGAACATCATCATTCTCACTGTTACAAAAAGTTTGGCATCTATGCTTTTAAATTTGTAAGATATTTTAATTAAGCATGCATTATTTTATTACTATAAAAACATTCTTTCAGACAACCTGAACAAGTGAGAATAATATTTTTATATTAAAAACTGTATAAATTATTGTGAAATGTTTCATTCAAGGGAGGAAAGCATCGTTACTTTTGCAGGAAACATGTAGTATATGCCATTTTTTAATGAATAAATAAATAAGGACAAATGATTTTGATTTATGATAAATTTGATTTACTGTAATGGTTGGTTTTATTTTTAAAATTATTATAATAATTTAATTATGAAGATAATTTTATTATGATGGTATTTTTAAAATCATTATAGTAATGTAATTATTGAGATAATGTTATTGTTGTGGTGTTTTTATCATTTATGACATAAAATAATCATATATAATTAACAATCATTAATTTTTAAGAATTAATAATCATTATGTTGATATTAGTGAAAATTAAATATTTTCTTATTTTCAAATATTAAAATAATTATGTTATTATAGTTAAATAAATTAATAATTTTAATGTTGTTTGAAGAAATCAATTTATAAAATATTAATAATATTTTAATATTTTATTTAATACATTGTTAATATATAAATAATATATACCATCAATACAGATTAAATGGATAATATTAAATATAATTAAATTTATATATCAATTCATCTTGATGATAAAAAAATTTTTTTTAATAAAAATTAAATCATTCTCTAAGATAATAATATAATTACTCTTTATGATCTAATATCAATGTTATTTATAGTCATTAAATTCTTAAAAAATGCGATAATTTATACACCATATATGTCTAATTCATCATAATTACATAGATCAATTTCTTTAAATATCTTAATTTTGTGATAAAGAAAGAGAGTTGAGAAGCATGTCGGAATGGACCACACGCACCATTACATGGCTCTTTTTTTTTTTTAATGGCTAAATACCCTAGGATAATTGTTTTTATTTTCTAATCATGGTTTTATTTTTTATCATTGCTTTTATTTTTAAGCTTAAAATCAATCATCCAATATTCCTTTTCATAAAAAAAAAAAAAAATTCTTAAAAGTGGAGCAAATGAGTGTATGAGCAAAATAACATTTAAATTTTTATGTTTGTAGAAGTTGGTAATATATTTTTAGAAAATTTAAAAACTGAATTTGCAGAATAAAATTTTTAAAACTAATTGTAAGAAAAAAACTAACAAACAAAATTTAATAGAGTTTCTTCACAAATACTTTTTTTTAAATAATTTTAATTTCAATATTTTTTCATAATTTTTTATTTTAAGTACAATACTTATAATTGAGTTAGACTCCTGATCATGAGATTGATTTTGATAAGATTAAAAATTATAATAATAATATAATTAAAAAATTAATAAAAATTTTATATTAAATAAATTTTATTTAAATTAATATTTAAATTTAATTGACGATATGATGAATTCAATCACACAGTATAAAAAATACGGTGGAATCCTAACCTAAAATTATCGCGACTTCACAACCAAAAACAAATTTCTATTTTAACTGGTTTTCCAAATCCTAACCCATGGTTTTCATTCATCTGCAAAATAGCATTTGGACATTGTTTTTTTTCCCTTTGTTTTGGGTTTGTTTGAGGGAAATTTGGTCCATGTCAACTTGCCAATAATTAGAAGCTGCAAACATTAAATCAAGAGAATTGCCTTTTTCATTGTTATAGTGGATTATAATTAAGGTTTGCATCGGGTCAGATTCGGGATGAATTTTATTCATTTTAAATTCGATCATATTTTATGTGTTATTAAACTCAAATTTGATCTTATTTGAAAATTTTTTTATTTTTTAATACTCAAATTCGATTTCGACCCGATATTATATAAATCGTACTCGATCTGATTCAATCTGAAATTAATAAAATATTATTTTTTAAAATATAAAATATTATTTTTAAAATATAAATATTTAAAAATATTATTATATAAATATATATAAATAATTAATTAAAAAATAAATTTTTATATAATATCGAGTCGGGTTGGGTTTGCCTAAAATTCAAACTCGACTCGATCTCGATTGTTTCATAATATTATCCGATTCAACCTGACTCGAAACTCGAATTTAAAAAAAATAATCGATCTTATTAAGTCAAATCAAAATTCGTCAGAGACGTGTTGAATTACCGATCCTAATCATAATGACTGATGATTGTTTTTTTTCTTTTATCATCTTTTTAGTGATAAGGGGTTTTAAGTTTTATTCGGTATTTAAAAAAAAATCAAGTTAAATAAGTTTATTTATGTTAAATTTGATCATTTATAAAAAATTATCTTTTCATAAATTACAAATTTTTAATAAAATTGAATTTATGTAATAAAAAATAAAATTTTTTATCACCTGAGTTAATATTCATTGGTAACTTTTTTTTTTTTTCTATTCTACCTAATGAATTGCCCATTGTCTCTTAAATGGTGCCAAAGACACCTTAGAAATTGGTCAAAAGCAGCAGCCTTTTTTATTTTTCAGCATTTTTGTTGATAATTATTTTAATGTTGTTGATTTTCACATAGTTTAAAAAAATTTTAAATTTTAAATTTAATTTTTTTATGAAATAAAGTTTCAAAATAAATTTAAAATGTAAAAAATAAGAATTTTAGATTAAAAAGAACATAATTTTGAGACATTAAAAAAAAAAGAATACTAGAAATTCACTGTCGAATTCAAAGCTCTTGTTTCCCCTCATTTTTTTTGAATAAAAATTCCTCACATTTTGGTTTTTTTTTTGCTGACTGCTTCAATCACCCAACTATTTTTAAAATTATTGATTACCCAATTCGATGTTAATCATGTTGATTTTAACAAAGTTTACATTTTTCTGTACAAATTATTTTTTTTTAACTTTTTTCTGTTGTAACATTAGGGATTTTTATGATAAATTTTATTTATATTTTATGTTGTAAAGTAGTTATTTTCAGAGGGTTTTTTGGGGGGTTTCATTGCTTGCAGATGATGGAGAGCAGTGAAGAAGCAGTAGATGATCAAAGCTCGGGATGGTTTCAAGTGAAAAGGTTTTCTTTCTTAATCAATTTTATTAATACCCATTCACATTTTTTCATATGTTGGTGATTTTTGTTGCCATTTTGTGTTTATTATCTGTTTTGGTTGCTTGGAAGTTGACAAAAGGAAAACCTGGGAAAGGAAAGTATTTTGTCTCTTCTGATTATTAGCTTAATTAAGCTTGATTGCTGCTTTGAGCTTAGCTGGCTGAAATTTATTTATTTTAGTATGAAAAGAATATAAGTTTTGAAATTGCTCTACTTTTTTAAGCATCTAAACAATATGGAAAGTAATTTGTTTATGTCTCTTTATTCTGATTGCTGAGTTAAAAATGGACTTAAAGTTAGATTATGAGTGAAATGTACTTTATATTGTTACTGACACTTAAGTAAATTCGTCATGAAGTAGCTGGGGAAGTCAAATTGTTTAATGAAAAATTATTTGTGGCTTACCGGATTGAGGGTACTATGTTTCATAAGTCTTTCTTTGATTTAACAAAGAATAATTCCAACAACAAGATTGACAGGGAAATGTTTTTGTTGAAAATTAGAGTTGGGAGTGTCAAACTTAAAAGTTCTATAATGTTTGCAAACATTGCTTTGTTGAAGCTGTGTTCTGCCTTTCATTACAAGGCTTCACTTTGCTTAACTTTGTGCTTAATGTGAGATTGTCAGTGTTTTGTTGTTTGTATTTCTGGCATAAAGTGATGATGGCGCTTCCTTCTTTGATATCACCTACTAGTCCTTCTAGATGGCACCACTTGCTTGGAGGCCTCGAGTTAACTAAAATCTTGCTTAGAAAACTACCTTAATATCCTAAGTGTGCCTTATAAGACTACCACATGATCATTTTATGTTCTATTGTTAATGTTTCTCTCTGGAATGGCGGGGATAGTCAAGGAAACTCAGTGGAGGTTCAGATTTTACTCAAGGGAGCGAAATGAAGAGAAACGAAGCATTGAATCAGGCAAGTCCAGCAAATTATACTCTGTCCAAAATGGTCGTGACCCACCAAAGAACCATATCTCTTCTGATGTTGCTTCATCTAGGCCGCTTCTTAAGGACATTTCTGCTGCATCTGGTTCTGGAAAGAGCGGGAGAGAATATCTCGAAACCGAGAAACTGCTTTTTAGGAAAGATAAAACATTAACAGA